GTAACTTCACAACTCACAAGACATTAGTAGCCAAAAAAATTTAAATATGATTATTTAAAGAGAAAGGTTATACTTCCAACTTTTTTTTACAATCTCTTATAACCATATCTTAACACTGTTGATTTCCGTCAATCAACGGTTATCATTTATTGTGAATTAATAATTAATTAATGAGTTTAATTTACGAAAATCATAACCGGTGATTGACGAAAATCAACGGTGTTAAGATATGGTTGTAAGAGGTTGTAAAAAAAAAGTTGTAAGTATAACCTTCCTCTTATTTAAATAAGAAATTATGAAATTTTGCATTTTGTAATTGGTGGCGCCCAAATAAACTGCATTAGAGTACTTGGTTGTGCATTGTCACAAATGTGACATTAATTTTTTTTTTATAGGTCTTCGTAAGGACTTAAAATCACATAAATATTTGAAGTTTTGTGAACATTAAACTATTTTCTTGTTTAAAAAAAAACTACTTTCATATATATATATAGATGAAGTTTTACTTACAACCTATTTCATCTTATAACCTCTTATAAATATTTTTTTATCTTTGGATCAAAACCAAATCAATATTTATAAAATAACATCAAATAAGAATTGTTGATCTGATTTTGATCCAACTATAAAAAAAACATTTGTAAGATGGAGAAATAGAATGGTCCATGAGCGAAATTTGTAACTGGTGGTAGTGTAAAATCTGTACTGTGAGTTATGAAGATATTAAAAATCACAAAATTGCATGCAATCACAGAAAATTAGAATGCAAAATGCAAGCATAAAATTGAAGAAAATCAAACTCAAGCCCAGCATTAAATACTATGTCAATTTTGCCCCCACTAATGGTGCCTAAGGTTCATGGACAAATACCTCTCAAAATAGAACAGGTTATCTTTGTTTCGATGGTGGCACAACCAGAAGAAACAACACCGACGGACGCAACATACATTAATCAATTGCACAGAATGAATACAAAAATTTTCAAACACATTTTTGATAGAGTTTCGGCATGAGAGAGAAATCAGGAAAAGAATCTATCTTTAATATGATTCCCTTCCTTATTTATAAACCATGATTGGTCGCGATGAATGGTGCCTACTGACAGTGAAGAGTCGTGCCTGTTCGGCAGTGAAAAGTCATGTCTGTTCAACAATGAAAAGACACATCTCTTCATACCCAACTTCTTATTCATAACTTTTGAATTTTATAAAAATTCCTACAGTCTCTCACATGAATAAGAAGTTCACTCTTCATGACTAAATGCATATGAGACTCAATGCAATGTGTGATTGATCAATGAGAAACAATTGCATCGGGACGCAATGCCTTGTACCGTCCCTAATAAGACCTATCGGATTTACTTGGTCAATCGGTGGACGCGATGCCTTGTAATTGTCAACCTTGAAAGTAAACCAAGACAATAGTAAGCACACAATTGTTTCTCGAACGCGGTTGGTCCTCTATTTCTGTCCATTTTAGCCATGGACACCTTGGTTCTGCAAGTTTATTAGAGAATATGGCCTTCTAATATTCTCACGACCCTCACTTCATACTTACATAGGTGATTTATGGCAGTGCACCCCAACACACACTGTCCAAACACATCGGAATCAAAAATCATTAAAAAGCCTACTTGCTTACCTTTTTCTTATACACTGTCATATCTATGAATGAGTATGAGTTTTGAAAAAACTCCACAGTGCTTATCCGTCAATCATCACTTGATTTTCTCTTTGAATCTAGTTTATAGGATCTCCACTCTTCTAGGTAGAGTGTCCACAATGATCAACATTTAATGGCCTTAAACTCATTCCTTTCAATAAACTATAGGTTTGGTGTTTGTCATTTTAAATGACATAAGTTATGTCATTTTAGGAGAGATACAGACACAGAAAAACGGAATCATGGGAGAGAGAAAGTAGGTGGTTTTTTTTTTAATTTAAAATTCAAATTTTCTGTGTTTGTATCTCTCTTAAAATGACATAACTTTCTGTCATTTAAAATGACAAACACTTTTCCCATAAACTATTCATTAACTCCCTAATTACACATTTAGTTAATGGATATGTATTAATACCACTAGAGAGTAATTGCCTCATAGTATCATGTCTTCAATATATACATAGAGATTTACCATTATATACAACACTCTTGCAATTTTGATTGGTACTTTACTATCATAGTGAATGCACATAGTAAAAACTAATTTCAGCCAATTCGAAATACTCCCAAGGAAGTTACATAGCCACTTGGCTACCCCCACCGACTCTGTCCGAGACAATAAATTTTTTCTTCCATGGTCGACCTTGTAATACATGTTTGTTTGGATGATTTTCAAGACACACCACCCCCACCAAGTGTGTACACATACACACTTGTGGACTTGGTGTCACTAGAGTCGGTGATTCAATTTGCATCACAATCGATATGCACCATTATTATGTACATATCCAATGAACACACAGTCCATTGTCTTTAGTCCGAACTTAACCCTTTTTTTCGGTTTCAGAATCGCGACCTTTGTCAAACACCCCATACTTCAAGATAATTTAAGATAGGCTCCCTACCTTTCCATATTTCATAGGAGATGTTCTTAATTTTCTTTTTGGGTACTCTATTAATTATATAGTTTGTCATTAAAATGACTCCCCCTCCCCAAAATTTGTGATAAACCATACATCAACAACATAATATTTATCATTTCTTTCAATATCTAGTTCTTTATATGCAATTGCATTAAATTGCAACACATAAGGAGCAATTGTTTTGTGTATAATACAAAACTCCAAACAAATAATTTCTCAAATGGGTCATCATAAAGAAGGCAATGTTGTCTTAAGATTGTTATAAAAATTGATGATAAATTTGTACAAGACTTCTATGGATAGTAATCGAGATTTGTGATCAAACAATATTATGAATGACATCTACTAACTTTCACCATAAGCAATATTTGAATAATGAGTGAAGATATTCTAACTACCAAAAATTCTCACTACTAACTTACTACCCATTACATCACCATTTGATCAAAGAGAGAGAATGTTAAAAAGTTTTTGAAGAGAGAGAAAATATTAATCTAATGGTGATTAGATAGGTAGTAAGTTAGTAGTACAAAATTTTGGTAGTTAGAATATCCCTCCTCATAATAATATGTGAAAATTGTTTTCAGATTTTGCAAATTGAAATTGCACCATTTGAATTTTCACCAATCAAACACTCAACACAGATTAATATTCAACACAAATTAATATTAAAACATGCAATAACACATAATTAAATTTACCGTATGAAAAGATATGAATGCAACAAAGGAAAAACTTATTAAAATTTTGATTATCTATTTATTTATAAAAAGCGTAGGGTCATGATTGAAAAGACACACTCATTCAAGGATGAAATCACAAACAACATATCTTTTGAAATCAAATTTCTTATTCGTAAAAATAATTAATTTAAAATTAATTCGAACAGAATTTCAACCACCCAAATGATCCTAGTAGCATCATAGATGAATATATATGGGGAGTGCGTAAGCCAAAGAGGCTTTCTCAGGATCAATCCATCGTGGGGCTGGATGTTGTTTGGTCTATACCGGGACTAGGCTGGTTGAAGCTCAATTTTGATGGTGTGTGCAAGTCAAGCCCTTAATTGGAACATTGGTTATCACAACATCTCCAGGATTCTAGATGAGCTACAACAGCTATTGTCCTGCGATCGTAGAGGAAGTTCCACGAGTCATAGTCCTAGCATGATATTGTAAGTATAAACTTTGTTAGAAGACTCATGGGCCGAGACACACCTGTAGTCCACTGATGTTAGAATGAACCAGTCAGTTTGGCGCCATTAAAGGACTCTTCTATAACCTTAGAAGTTATCACATCAACCCAATGAGTATATTTCACTTGGCAACACAGGCTTAGTAAGTGAGAAAATAATTATATTCAATTTCCATCAAATAAATAATTGGAGAGAGGTGAATAATCTTAACTGTGACTAAGCTTTTTCGTACCCAAGAAATTTTATCTGTCTTAAAGAGATAATTAGGATTGATATGAAAAATCTCCTTCTTTTTTTGTTTTTTCATATTTCCCGGTTCAAAATCCAAAAAGATTGTCTATTTATTATAATTAAAATATAAAAAGATTCAGATTTGAGTATCAGTTAAGATTTAAGAGACTATTTACAAAAAAAAAAAAAAAAGACATAAGAGACTGATTAAACAAACAATAGTAAAAATATTAAATAAAAAGTAATATTCAATACATTAAAAATATAAAAAAATTTTAACACTCTCATATCTTAAAAGTATTTTTAAAACATAGTTTGATATACGCATTATAAATGCACATCAATTCAGGTCAGGCTAGGATTCGCGCTTTCTTCTAAAGCAAAAGCGCAAAAAAATAAAAAAAATAAAAATCGGCGTATCCCTTTGCCAAATTGCTTGCATTCCCTAACTCCTGGAAAAAAGAACAAAAAGAAAAAAACGCACACGTCATGGAACGTTATTTCTCTGTTTTATTTTAATATTTATCTTTTTCAAAAGGAATATCTTTTAAACTGATTTTCGCGAAATCGAAAATTCGAAATTGAATCTGTTCTATTTTTTGTTTTTTTTGAGTTACCCAACCTTAATTATCTCTTTGAGCCCACATATCCAAAAATGCATTCAGCGGGAATTGAACACATATCCAACCCCACTAACTCAGCGCCAAGTTACCAACTGAGCTGCACCCATTGGGTGAATATGTTCTATTCTATCAACCAAATCAAATCATATTTTAAATGTTATTTATTTGTTTATATATTTTATTTATTTATTTATCTATTTGATTTTCTATATAAACAAATAAATTAATAAATTTCCCAACACACCTTTCTTTTGTTTTTGGACGGACCCGTTACTTGTGTTACGCATACATACACACATTAGCTTCTGCTTCTTTCTTTTATTTTTTTCTCTCCGCCAATTCAAATTGCTTGTTTCTCGGGAAAATTTTCACGTTGCGTTTTCCCGGGAATTCTTCTTCTGCGTTGTTCTCCGCTAATCTTTTCGGAGATCGAATCTTGCGAAATCCTCTTTTTCTCTCTTTTTTGTTTTTTTTGTTTTTGTGTTTTCCTGTGAGTTTTCTCACAAGGGAAAAACCGCTGAGAGTTTTCGTTTTTGATTCATTGGTGGGTGGCTTCATTGTTTCGATTTAGGGTTTTGTAATCGGATTTCTGCGGGTCTCGGGGTTGCAAGATTGGTGAAAGATTGGAAAGCTGTGATAATTGGATAATTATCCGTGCCTCGGGAGTTTTCGGTCCCGAATTGTGGGATTCTTGGCTGCGTTGCTTCGATTTCGATGTGAAATTAGGGTTTTGGGGATGATTACAACATGATAATTAAGCGGACTATGAAAACTGAAATGCCGAACCTGAAACGGTGTAAACTGGACGAGGCAGATTCCGAGGGTAAGAAAAAGCGAAGGGTGAATGGGTTTTACTCTCTTGGTATGCCTGGTGATGCTGAAGATTTTAGTAGCGGTTCTGGCTCTTGGAGCAGTGAAGGTTCGTACTGGGGTGGTGGTGTTGGTGGGGGTGGTGAGGTTCAGTCTAATTCAAATTCTGTAAGGTTGAATGGCAAGACGGTGCAAGGCCGGGGCTCCCAAGCGCCGCGGCCTCCGCTGTTGCGGTCGTCGCGTGGCCGCGTTCAAATGCTTCCTTCGAGGTTCAGTGACTCAGTTATTGATAATTGGAAGGATCGAGGAATCAAAACGGAGGATGGAGACTCCATCTTTGATGAAGATTATAGGGAGGGTATTAGTGCAAAGGTATTTGTAAAACTGGATAAGAGTGATAACCACCATGGCTTGGAAAATTCTGATTTGGGTGGCATAGGTTTAAATGGTTTTGATAAAAAGGAGAATGCTGATTCGTCTAGTATCAGGACGGTGAAAACTGATAGTAATACGTCTGGTATTAGCTTTGAAGGTGTAGACCAAAAGCCTAATGGGAATGCTGGAAAGAGGAAAGAGGTTTACAAGCCTGAGGATTTTGCTTTGGGTGATATAGTTTGGGCAAAATGTGGGAAGAGATATCCTGCTTGGCCTGCTCTAGTCATTGATCCCATCTTGGAGGCTCCCAAATCCGTGCTGAGTTGTTGTGTTCCCGGTGCACTGTGCGTTATGTTTTTTGGTTATTCCAAAAATGGAACGCAAAGGGTAAATTTTTTTTCTCTATATCTTGTTTATGGTCTTAAATTTGAGTTATTAATTTTGGGTTTTAGTGTTGAGATCTAAAAGAATGATGATGGGCAGGACTATGCATGGGTGAAGCAGGGAATGGTATTTCCGTTCTTGGAATTCATGGACAGGTGTGTGGTTAAACGATACTGGCTGTGCAGTTGTTTTCTGTAAGAATATTGGGCATTTAATGAATAAATATTTATGGCTTTTTTCAGGTTCCAGGGGCAGACGCGGTTGTACAAGAGCAAACCAAGTGACTTTCGCATGGCACTGGAAGAGGCAATGTTGGCAAAAGATGATTTTCTTGAATCACAGTTGGAAGCAGAGGAAGAAGTAACTACTGTAAAAGCTCATCCTGATGGACTTACAGAGGCCACGGGTTCATGTTTTGATCAGGAATATTACTGCGAGGGTCAGGTGAGTTTATTTATTTATTTATTTTTTCATTTTGTGCTTTTTATCAACGTTACTAGATGAGAGCATTTACAAAGAGGCTTTCGTCGTGTTGAGTTGTAGCTAACATAGGCTGCGCGGTAGTCAATATTTATTTATGGAGGAAGGACTAAGGAGTGCCTATGACATATACTCGTTAGCCACCGGCGGAGCTAGAAAAAGAAAAAAACCTGGGGAGCCGACAAAGAAAAACTAACATTGAGGGGGGCCTAGCTTAGAAAAATTATTTATTATTTTTTAAAAAATGTTAATAGAAATCTACTATTCATAATAATAAAAAATTATTAATTAGAAATCTAATTTTCTTATAATTATGAGGATCAGCCTTGGAGCAGCGGTAAGATTGATCCTTGCAACCTGAAGGTCATTAATTCGAGTCTAAGAAATAGTCTCTTTGCAAAAATATAACGATAAGGTTACGTACAATTGACACTCATCCCTACCCTATCAAGTTGAGGAGTCTTGTGCACCGAGATTTGCCTTTATACTATTTTTAAAATTATATTACAAATATACTATTATTAAAATTAGCCAAATCCCCTCTCAACCATAAGGAGGTACTGCCCATGTCTGTAGGCTTATATGGTCACTCTCTACTTGTTTGTCTTAGAAATAGGAATCATGTTTGAATATGACACATGGAGTGATATGCAAAAAGAAGTGAATAACCTATTACAATTGAGCTAATCATCAAAGGTTCAAATTATGCGCATGAAAGCTATCTGTCATATGCGCAAGTAAGGTTTTCTTGTTTTTCATGGCTAAAATGCAAGTTTATCTATCATATGTTGCTTTGTCCTGCAGTGATAGTTACTCTGAAAAACAGAGCTTTATAATAATTTACTGTATAAAAATGTATCTCTTATAGACTGGTTATTTGTAATTTTTTATCCACTGAATATTTTGTGCAGGATACAAGATCTTGTGCTGGCTGTGGTTTGATGTTGCCATGCAAAACCATGAAGAAGATTAAGGATTCAAGCTGTGCGCCTCAATTTTATTGCAAACATTGTGCTAAGGTTATGCAGAATAGTTCATTTATAATGCTTTCGAAGTTTTCACTAAATACTTTTGTAGCAGATATTTGATTTTCAATTTTTTTTATGCTGCTACAGTTACGTAAATCAAAGCAATATTGTGGCGTTTGCAAAAAGATTTGGCACCATTCAGATGGTGGGAATTGGGTGAGATAGTCTGTTTTGTTTATTTTATTCAATTTATTTAACATTTGTTTCAGTCAACTTGAAATTTGATATCTATTGGGGCTGAACTCTTTGAATCAGGTATGCTGTGATGGTTGTAATGTTTGGGTGCATGCCGGGTGTGCTAAAATTTCCAGCAAACTTTTAAAGGTGTTGTATTGTGGTTTATATGGCGCTACCATTCTCTTTTCTCTGAATTTATTTTTTAATTTCCCTGGTTCACGACGTGACAGAAGATAAATGACTGGCTTTTGGTTGCAGGATCTGGAAAATACAGATTACTATTGTCCAGATTGCAAGGGAAAATTCATTTGTAACTCACCAGCATCACAAACATACAAGTCCAAAATCAAGTATGTGGTGATTATCTGTTGCTTCCTTTTCTCTTCTATTAGGGGTATTCAGCATTTAATTTTGTTCTTTTTATCTTATGATATCTTTTGAGACAGTTCAATAGAGAAGAGCCAAAAACCTATGATACCTGAGAAGGTAACGGTGGTGTGCAATGGCATGGAAGGAATTTACATCCCAAATCTTCATTTGTAAGCCTTCAACACTTCTTGCATGCTATGGGATTGATATGATTCAAATATTCTGGCTTTCTATATGTGATGAAAAGAAAGGATTTTATATTCTCTCCCTTTGCTGTCTTAAATTCGTATTTCTGGAGATGCTCTCTTTGCATTTCTTCATTTTTGTCTTCTCTTTTGCCCCCAGGAATTTCCTAAGGAAGTTTCTGTGTGAATATACTTTTTTCTTCAAACGAATGCATATGCATTTATTTTATTTATGATTGTAGTTGACTATTACATTAGCATTTATCCAGTATTATCTTGAAAACATAACTACCTTCAATCTATGAGTTTGTTATCAATCAGACTAGTTTCTATACTAGGAAAACAGTTTATGAGAATTGAGAAAAATAAAAGAAACTTAGGTGAATGGATATTATTTCTTTCTAGAAGAAGTCTGTTGAGCTGCTTGTGATTGCATTTTTTTGCAGAGTTATGTGCAAGTGTGGCTCTTGTGGTTCAAGGAAGCAGACCCTGACTGAATGGGAAAGACATACAGGTTGCAGAGCCAAAAAATGGAAACATAGTGTGAAAGTTAAAAGTACAATGCTACCGCTAGAAAACTGGGTATGCATTAGTTCTTGCTATGTTAGATACATGCCAAATCTTTCTGGTGGATTCTGTTTTGGATGGTTTTGTTATTATGTTTTGCTTCTTTCTTATTTTTGACTTAACTCAAATTACTTCAGATCACAGAAAACGTTTCACAAAATGGAGTTCCCCAGCAGTTAGATCAGCAGCAGGTGCTTGCTTTTTTGCAAGGTAAATGTGCATTTCATGTAAACTTTTACTTACTGAAGCTTTCGTTTCTTTTAGTTGACCAGGTCTTATGGCATTTCACAGATGCACGCTTTCCCCTATATATATCTTTAATGGAAGAGATTTAATTTACATTTACCTTATTGTCACAGAGAAGTATGAGCCAGTTCATGCAAAATGGACAACAGAAAGATGTGCCATTTGCAGATGGGTTGAAGATTGGGAAGATAACAAAATTATTATCTGCAACAGGTGATTTCACTATTGTTCATGATCTTTGTCCCTAAGATGTAGAATTATTGGGGATGTTTAGTATTTCATTTCAAATTTATGAGGCTTTAAAGGTATTAATGTTGATTAATATATGTTGTTCATTGTGCAGGTGCCAAATAGCAGTCCACCAAGAATGCTATGGAGCAAAGAGTGTTCAGGATTTTACTACTTGGGTTTGTAGAGTATGTGAAACTCCTGATGTTGAGAGAGAGTGTTGCCTTTGTCCAGTAAAAGGCACGTCACATTTAGTATTTTGAGCAGTCTGAACTCTTGCTATTCATATGTCTGTGTGCTATAATGTTTAGTTCTGTATAAAAGTAATAAATGGCGGATCCGGCACTCTAATTCTCAGGTGGAAAAGGAGGCCTTTTTCATTCATATCAGGAATTGACCTTCTGTCTAATATTCAAAAACTTTGCTTGACTTTGGTGGACCGTCAATCTCTACTGTAACCATTCCCCCCTTCCCCATTTTCACGTAGTTAAAGGAGAATGAGCCTGATTCAAATGTGATTGTAGTTATGTAAAAGGCCCAACATTATCAATTTGCTATTTGCATTTGCATTGTGTTTTTCCTGCTCCTTATATTTATCTTCCATGGTAAGTTCTGTGATCCAGTGCTAACTTGCTTTTACTGTATGGGAAAAAAATGCTTTGCAGGTGGTGCACTAAAGCCAACTGATGTTGAGATGTTGTGGGTTCATGTAACATGCGCTTGGTTTCGTCCTGAAGTTGTTTTCCAAAACCATGAGGCCATGGAACCTGCCTTAGGAATCCTCAGAATTCCTCCTAATTCCTTTGTTAAGGTAAAATGCTGGGCTAAAAGTTGATCTTGGCTTTTGTGAACATGTGGTTTCAGCTATATAATATGACTGAAAATGTAATTTGGGTGATTCCAAATTACATTTGGCTGACAAGCTAAAATGCACCAGAATGCATTTTGGCTATGATGTAGTGATTTATCTCTAATAAAGTCAATATCTTTTCACAAAATGAAATGTACTTTTGGTTATGCTATTCTTACAAAACTCAATTGCTTCCAAATTGCTTTTGGATGACTATTCCCAAACATAAAAATGGATTCTTTCAAAATACTTTCTGATCAAAAATAATTCTACATTAGTTATCCAAATATGCACCATATAACCTTACGACTTCAATTATGTTTTTTTTTTCATATTGTTTAGTAAGATGGTGGCAGGTTGTTATGTAATCACTAGGCTCTCCCTTTTTTCTTATTTCTTTTATGTTTGGCTGGGCTGTACTAAAAAACTTGTGTACATTTTCTTGTCCACTGCGACTGCAGACTTGTGTGATCTGTAAACAAAGCCATGGTTCCTGTACAACTTGCTGCAAGTGTGCTACTCATTTTCATGTGACGTGCGCATCAAGAGCGGGATATAGTACGGAAGTAAGTTTCGCTTCTTCTAAGCATGAATAGATTGATCTGAAGTAGTTTTTTTTTTCTGGATTTGTTTTTTCCCCCTTAGTTTATCTCTTTCTTTTGAAGGGCATGAGGCAGGAGCATCCTTTATGCTTTCACCTTAAATTAATAATTTGCTACGGTGGTTTGAATTTAATTATATCAGGATTACAAGAGCTGGGGAAATATATTAATATTGTTTAAACTTACAGTTGCATTCTGTGGAGAAGAATGGGACTCAAATAACAAAGAAGTTAATATACTGTGCAGTTCACAGGTTTGAGCTCTGGTGATGTAATTATATCTAAAGTTATTTTCATCGTTTTTTATAAGGTAGTTTTATTTGTTAATTCCATCTCAGGGTCCCAAATCCAGATTCAGTACTGGTTGTACATACATCCCTGGGGGTTTTCTCTCCCAGAACTTCAATCCAAAATCATAAAGGATCCTTAAGGGGATCAAGACTGGTTTCATCAAAGAATGTAGAGCTTAATGAATATTCATCCACTGAAAATAACAAGGTTGAGCCACTGTCTGCTGCCAGATGTCGTGTGTACCAAAGGTCTCCTAATAAGGTGATTATTCTTAATATACTATTATGATCATAATAGTATATTAATTGTTCTAGTCTTTTGCTCTTATTATGTTTTGTTTTACTTATAGTCAATCACTTTTGGTATTTTTAAATGCCAATTGTTAATTTCAAATGTGCTAATCACTTACATTATCTATTTTTTTCCATTTGGTCTCTTTCAATACATTTACTCCCATATTGCCAGAGGGCTGATTTGCCAATAATTCACTTACTGAGGGGACCCAGCCTTCATTCTTTAGGTGCAATAACTCAATTGAACAGCTATAAGGTAATCTTCATGGCTAACATTATATATGTTAAACCTTTTGCTTTTGAAATAAATAACCTAATCTTGCTGAGTTGTGACTGTAATATGTGGAAAAAAAAAGTTAATTTGTTGTCTTATAATCTTGCTTTGTGATAGGATGCTGAAGATTCTAAAGCATTTACTTCTTTCAAGGAACGTCTTGACCATTTACAGGTAAATCATATCTCTCAATTCAATATATTTAATCATTTAATTTGTTTATCTCAATTTGTTTTAATTTCAAATCATATATCCTTTTTTTTGTTTGTATTCAATTTTTATGTTTGGGTTTTTCAGAAAATGGAAAAACTTAGAGTTTGCTTTGGAAAATCGGGTATTCATGGATGGGGCCTCTTTGCTCGTAGAGATATACAAGAAGGAGAGATGGTAATTTACTATATTAATTTAAGATGGTCACTGAAGTGTAAGATAAATACCATGCTGCAGCTTCTTCTGAAAGCATTAAGTTCATGCTTGTTATGTTTGTCTACAGGTTGTTGAGTATCGTGGTGAGCAGGTAAGGCGTAGTGTTGCTGATCTCAGGGAAGCAAAATACCGTTCAGAAGACAAAGATTGCTATGTTAGTCTCTTGATTAAGATTGTTTCTAACATCTGTCTATACGCACACTTTCTTTGTTTTGCTTGATCCAGTGAAGCCTGTTTTATAGTCATTTAAACTATTATCATGTTTCATTTTGCTCTTTTAACCCTATATTTGGTTCAAATGCTTTTTCTAGACAGGTTCATGATTTCTGTTAACATTTGAATTCATTTACTCCTAATCTAACACCAAACAAAAATTATGCAGCTGTTCAAGATCAGTGAGGAAGTGGTAATTGATGCAACGCACAGGGGCAATATTGCACGTTTAATAAACCATTCTGTAAGTCATTACTGGACTCTGCTGTAACCTTGTGGATCTTATCTTTGTTTTTCTTTATTTATATTTTATGGCATGCCCCGTGAAGTTGCTCAATGCTTTTTTGGGTATGAAAGGAGGGTTGGAGTGCCTGGTGGCTATTGCTCTCAGCAACGAAGGCTCTTAATCTAAATTCAGATTGTATTAGGCTGCTAGATGAACCTGATCTGGTTTTATACAGATGCTAGTTGATTTTCTTGTCCTTTGTTCCTCTGTCAGATTGCATTAGATTATGAATATTGTATGAGTTTGAAAATTTTATGATTCAAGCACAATCATGCATTATGTGGTTTTACATAAGAGAATACTGCAATGGCAAAAAAAGGAAAATACTAATGTTCAACCTGATTTGCTTCAGTGCATGCCAAACTGCTACGCAAGGATTATGAGCTTGGGTGATCAGGAGAACCGGATTGTTCTTATTGCCAAGACCAATGTTTCTGCTGGTCAAGAGCTAACGTACGGTTTGTTGTGTTTTCATATCTTTTAATGTGTGCTCACATATGCAAACATGCAAATTGGGATGTGTGGTATACTAATTTCTTAGGCATGAAAAATCTGATTAATCTGACATAAATAACTTTTATTTTTCTCTGATGTTGCAACAGGTATGATTACTTGTTCGATCCAGATGAGCAGGATGAACTGAAAGTTCCCTGCTTTTGCAAAGCCCCCAATTGTAGGAAATTTATGAACTAGGTTCCCCATTTTTTGTTCTAGGAGCAATTGCAGTTACCTAACCATAGAGTAAACATTTGTCCATTGAGCCTTTTTTTTATTATAATTTTTTAATTTTTTTACAAGTTCAGTATAATTTGTATATCATTTTTGTTATATAATAAAATAGAAAAATTCTGAGGAATTGAGCTGGAGGCAATTTTGTAACTTGCCACATGGTTCCTCTATATAAACCCAAATTGTTTTGACATTTCAGGCTTTGCAAAAGAAAATTCAATATTGGGATTGGAGTTTATCAGTCAGGACCAATGTTTTAGAAAAAGAATCAAAGAAACCGTTGTGCCTAATGATATTGGGTGTTTGATAGAAGTAGTAATTTTTTATTTCGTACTAAAGTTTTTTGGAAATTGGGAAACTCAATCTCAATTATACATGTAAATTGGTCCTCACAACATAATAGAGAGTAATCAGATTGAAAATATGGCTGTGTTTGATTGTGATTAACTTTTTTTTTCCCCTTAAAATTGTTTTATAGAATGTAATGAAATATGTATTTTTTTTTTTGTTTTGAGAGTTAAAAATCAAAATATAAAATAAAAATAACTTATATTATGTTTTTTAAATTTTATTTTAAAAATAAAAAAATAAGGGTAAATTACATATTACCCCCTTATACTTGTATCATGTTTCAAAAGACCACCTTGTACTTTACATTGTTGCAATTAATCTCCTTGTACATATCTGTTAAAATTTCTCCTCACCCCATTAATCCATCACGTGCTTCGGGTTGAACGCCTCAATGTTAAAAGAATATTTATAACTTATGTCATCTCTTTTGACTTTGGTTGTCTTCTCATCTCACCTCCATTTCTTCTCCCCTTTATTTTCTTCTCATCTCACCTCCTTGTCTTCTCAAATATGTTCATTCAACTAACGAAAGAAATTTTTTATACATCCAGGGACTTATTTCCACGTGGGTCATGTGAATCAGATTCAAAAAAAAAAACTCTTCGATCTGCAAACAGTAATTGGTCGTAAAGAAGGAGCTCACCTAAGTGAGATGGAAGTTCTTTCTATCAGATGGGTAATTTTTATAATTATTAATTGAAATATGATAAATCATTTATATTACCAAATAAATTTAATTGTTTGATCAAGTTACTGAAACAAGGATTCTTCAGCTAAAAAAATGCTCCTTAAATTGATGAATTAAGAATCAACAATTTGGTTGATTAACTAGACATAAAATAGTTGGATGTAAGACGCATAGCATGAACATTTGAATTTTTAAGAGACATAAATGCAAAGACATATCATGTTAATTGTAGAAATCTTATTCCACAAGCCTGAACATCTGCAACAAACTTTTAGGTAATTAGCAAATTTTTTGCTGAAACTAATTGATGCAGTGATTTTACATTGCTCCATCCTATCACCTTGTTGTTTGTCATCCATATTGGCTACACAACTGAGGTCAATGATTCATGAACTTCATCCATGGGAAGTGGACTCCTAAAGCAAGAGTGTTAGAGTTACATCTTGTGCAATCACTTCTTGATAAAAAAAATAAGACTTATATACATATGCATGAGTACATTGCGTGTCAGATTTCATTCATGATTTAAGGTATAAGGCAGTCAAAACAAAATACCTATGTGCTAAAAAGATTAATACCATAAAAAATCTCTACAAGAGTGTTAAAGTTACAATTTGTAAAAATGATGGAGGTGAGAATGGGTTAGGGGTTAGGGCTCCTTAACCTTTGTAAAAACGGGGTAATTTTCAAAAGGAAAGGGATTGAATTAATACCAAGTGAGAAGCACGTGATCGATTAACGGAGTGTGAAGAAATTTTAACAAATATGCTTATTTGTTAAAATCATATAATTTAAGAAGGTTAATTATAACAAAGTAAACTATAAGGTGGTATTTTGAAACATAACACAAGTAAAGGGGGTAATGTGTAATTTACCCAAAAAATAATTATAATTTTTATTTTTATTTTTTTATAAAATAGGTCTTATTAAACGGGTTTTTTTCTTCTAAAATTTAAGAAATAGGTAAAGGATATACTTACCACCAAAAAAGTTTACCACCTTTACCACTAATCTAATCATCGTTGATTTTCGTCAATCTAACGGTTATAATTTGTTGGAAATTATTGGGTCGTATTTATTAATTAATTATTAATTCCCAATAAATTCAATAAATTATAACCGTTAGATTGACGGAAATCAACGATAAAGGTGATAATTTTTGTTGTTGATAAGTATATCTGCCTCTTTAAAATATTGTTTTTGGAAACAAATTTCACCCTAATTCTTTTGGATCGCTGAACTCCTTGGTTGGGTTTTGATTGTAAAATATTGGTGAGTACTATTGTCTTTTGTTTATGTTATGCTACTTAATGAGATCAATGAAATATGACATTAATTGTGAGTCTTTATTAAAGGAGTATCGTGGTTAATTAGTGTTTGCATGAATAATTAATGAAGCGCAATTTTTAGTGGTACGTAGTAGAGTTGTAACTTGTAAGATTTGATCACTGTGAACTAATTTATATATAAAGTTTACAGTTTATATATAAATCGAATTTCATAGCTTAAGTTTTGATTGTCATTTTTTTGCATTCATTAATTCGATTAGATTTCTAAATGCATTCTAATCTCATCTTTTAGATATAATAACAACACAACGGGTGAAATCTAGAACTTCTTACAAAATTTAAATTTGATAATGAACCAAGTTTCGTTAACATTTTTATTTATTATTTTAATAAGTTGAAAGTCAGGAGAAATTCTTATGTAGATAAATGCATGTTGTTTCAGTTTTTTTAGGATATTCATTTTTTCAAGGAAAAAACGTTTATTCTTTTAAAAGATATAAATTTGTGTCATTTTAGATCCTGATCAGACCAAATACACTAAGGGCTGGCTAATATGTATTAGGCCTAATCACACACGGTTGAGATGGAGATGATGTTCGTTGTTGTGGGCTTGAAGTGGTTGTGAATCTGTTCGTCTTTGTCCTTTGCTTGTAGCACGATAAGTCCGGATGAGGGTACCTGCGAAGACACTCCGATGCTTAGTCAGTATCAAAGACATGTGTTTATATGTTCTTAATGTAAAGGATGAATGTACCTGAGTGTTGTACCCTCTGCTTATATAGCGGTTATGATGCCGCCTTAGCAAGGCGGTATGGCCTCTGATTGACCAGGTGTGGGTTGCAGGTCAGGCTAGAACCTAAGTAGTCTTATCTTCTTAATGTCAAGCTATAGAGTCGTGGCAAGCTGGTGCTGTCCTCTGTCTATTAGTTCAAAGGCGCGGTGAGCTTGCCTTGGTTCTTAAGTTAGCTTCCTCTTTTCTAGAGTTTATGCCAAAGGACGGTTATATGCGCGATGGGGGCATCACGTCTTGCTATGTGCGCGATGATGACCTTCACGCTTAGTTTTGGACCCTTCATGAGATTGGGCTTCTTTGTATGTTATTGAGCCTCCAATGGGCCTTCTATATTTTGTCCAGATCAGATCCTAACTGTTGATTTTCGTCAATCAATAGTTATAATTTATTGGGTCAAATTTATTAATTTCGAAAACCTACCAATTTCTTCTTCTTCAAAATAACTAGCACACAGGTTTAGTTTATGGGATTTGCATTTGTCATTTAACATGACACAACAAACTTTCCTACACACACAACATTTTGTGAGACCCACACTTTTTGAAAAAAAAAGAAAAAAAAATTACAGCACGCAAAACGAATCTCTATAACATTACACAATCACTTTTCCTACAACATAACTCTTATAAAACCCTTAGTTTTATATAAGTTACATAAACTAAATCATTAGTTTTGTTTACACATCCTCTCAAAGAAAAGGTAATCAGTGTTTTGAGCTTGGCTGTAATATTTTATTCATTGTACACTAACTATTGTAGTAGAACCAACTACTCATCCTTTATCACTAATATACTTCTGTTGAACTGTAATTTACAAGCTTTATGCACGAATAATTGTTCTGATGATTTTTTAAAATAGCACTAAGTACGTGGGTCAATTCATAGGGATTATTTCAACTAATATTAATGGCATCGAATTCAAGTTATGGATAATTATGTTAAGCATTTGGTAATAAATTTTTTACCGCCATTATATTTTGCCTGATTCAAACCAGATTAATTTAATAATTGATATAAATCGGTGAAGAATTTTTTTTTTTAAATAATTATTCAGTTCAAAAAAATTAAAAAAATGCTAGCTGTTAAACTAATATTATAACATACAACTTTCATTTTGCTTATTTTGATCTAAGAGGTTGTTTTATGCTTTAGAATTCAAACGGTAGCATCTTAAAGACTTAAACGATTCAATTAAACATAATTTAATGTTATATTATCAAAGCAAAATACAGTGAAATAGTTACCAACAAAAATGATTAAAACTAATTAATTTGTTTACCAAAAAAAAAACTAATATTAACTTATGCTCTAAAAAAAATTAAACTAACATGCATCTTTATTAATTAGGCCAGAAAGAAACTATCCTAAATAGATGGAAACGAAACGAGGCCTATTTAAATTCATTTTATTACAACAAATAATAAAATTGTGGTTTTAATTTTTTGTTACTTTATTTGAAATGGGAGCTTTTGGCGCGCGTATATAAGAAGTGAACCTCACGAGAACCGTTGTGTTTCGTTTTGGAATTGAGAGAGTGAGAGGGTTGTTGTTTCAGCTTCTGAACTTCAGAGAGATAGATAGAGAGATAGCTAATCTCAGATTTCTAAGGTAGCATGGGAAAGCGCCTCCACAATGCTAATTCCTCCGGCAAAGAGATTCCACCTGCAAAGCGAATCCGGAGGAGCAAAACCGTCTGCTCCTGCAACTCTCCTCGTCCTCCATTTCTCTCCGCTCATTCCACTTTCTCCTGGTTATCTCTCTCTCTCTCTCTCTCTCTTAAAAACTTCCTGCAAAACCGATTTCAATTTCAAGCTCTTTTCCTATATATGTGAATATTGCGTTTAAATGTTGATTTTATGCTTAGTGTGCATTGCTGAGTTACAGATCAGAACTTAGTTCGGATTTTCATTTGGATCTGGTTTTTGAATTGTGCTCTGTTTGATTTAGTTAATTGATTTCTTTCTCTCAGATTATTGTGTTTATACTTGAACGAATCAGTGAAATACTTGCTTGCTCTGAGACTCTTACAAAAACTCGTGTGTGATCTATCTATACGTTTTGTCGGAGATCTCCGTGTTTGTTTGCTTGTTAATACGATCTAACAGAATTTCTGCCTGTGGATGAACCTCGAATGTGATTTTTTGATATCGAGTTCAATTTTAAATTGCTTGCTGAATCATGTTTTGTGCGGTTTTTTTACGGTAGAGGAAACGAGAAAGCTGCATCAGCAGGTGATTTGTGATTTCAAAAACTTGCTTCACGGCGAACGTTTAGATCGATTATGGTTTACGAGCGCCTGAGCTATCTGTTCATTAGAGAAGCACGTTTTATGTCGATCACTCTGCAAAATCTGTTTTGGCAGAGTCAGTCATTTCAATTTTTAGCTGCACAACAGCTTAATCACTCTTCCAACTCTGTTTGCCTTCTGACGTGTGTTTGGTTTCTCGGTTCTTCTTAAATAGAAAGTTGAAAAATACTCAAATCATCATTAATGGATGCATCTTTATTTTTATTTTTTCATTTCTAGATAGAAAATGTTTAAAAGGTTCAAATCGTCGTTTTCTATAGGTTTTATCAGTACGAAAGATATATTTAGTAGAATCTATTTTTATTTTTAAATTTCTATAGTATTTTGGTTACTTACTATTTCTATAATTCTCAATGCTCAACGAGAAGGTTCGAAGAGGACATTTGGACAGAGATTGCTAAGTTTCTGGATGGAAAATCTCTGTTGATGCTTGCAGCCACAAATCGATGGTTCCGTCGAGCTATCATGGATGACGGTATATGGAAGTTTGTGTGCCTGCGTGATCTTCAGGTCCCACCCCCTCAACGCGTGGCATTCAGGTGGAGCAAGCTGTACACTTCAGCCTTCAGTAAGATCTGACCCTTTTCAATATTCAAATCAAATGCTTTCCAAACTCCAATTCGTGCATACTACATATAAAATGAAGTTTAGCAAAACCTACGATACGATGCATTGCCACCATTCGATTGACTTCGATTTTGAAATGAAATTTCAGATGGGAGCCATTCTTACATGTTCCGTCAGCAGGAGAAACACATTGGTTAGTGGGTTCTTTGGTTACCCTGATATCATTCCTCGCCACGCCTAATATTTTTTTTTAATGAAATTAGAGGTTTTAATTTTCTTAACTGGATGGTAAACTATTTCATATTCTAACTAAATGGAGGAAATAATATTATGGTAGTGGTAGGCACAGCCGTAACATAAGTGAATTCACAATAAATTTTTACACATCCCACGCACAATCATCATTACAGTATCCGCATCCTAATATATGTGAAATTCACTATACATTTTAATAGATCCTACACGCAATAATTACCCTGTCCACAGTGAACAATGTGCTTACGCAGAAAATTCGTTGTAAATGGAATTTCCTTGAACTTACCTGTTCTAGCACCGACTCTTCCTCCCCTCTTTTAGATTGCTTAGCTATGACGCAAATTCGCTGTGTAGATCTTTCAGAATTTATCGAACCACTGACTGATTCATTCTTATTGTGAATATATTATTGAACTAAAACAAGACCCACATAACTGAAAATGTATTACGGGCAATATGTGCAACTTTAACATCGTAGACTTGGAAAATTATTGACGTTGTACGGTTTTTCAATATGTACTACCAGATTGGATGCGTATTGGCGCTTTTTCTTTTGATTCTTCACTGGCCCTCCTATCAGAGAGGCTGACTTTTCCGGGAAAGATACGAAAAGAAGAAACAATGGAAAAGATGTTGCGGGCTCACGGTTGTTGCGTGCTAGACAATGTTAAATCTGGAATCTGGATAGCTGGTAATTCCCAAATTAACTTATACCCTAGGATTATCTTTGAAATTAATTAAGTCAGCATATGATCTCAGTTGTGTTTAACTAAATACATTTGTTTGATACGACTAATTTTTTCAGACCTGCAGCTTGTACGATGCCCAGTTTGTGACCTCAATACGTGCGATGGTAATTTGAACATAATCCGATTAGCCCTGTATATCCCATTGTACTGCGATTGCCTTCTAATTTGGCCAAGACAAATAAAACTACCGTGAATAATGCATCACTGATCACTGTGTTGTACAGCAAGGGTTTGCCATTAGAGTGAGGCTAGATTAAACTTACATAAATTGACAGGTTTTTCCTACTTCTATAGGAACAATGCAGACATTAGATGCAAGGCATATAGAACTATTCCTCTGTGAAGGCTACCAAAATGGGAGCTGGGAATACCAGCTTGTAGGATCTCATGATATCAAAAAACGAGCAGATGGGGCTTGTGGCGCCATTTTTGACGTCAAACGCCTGGATGATTCTTCCACATCTGGTAAATCTTGATGCTTCGAGTCAACTTACCAAAAGTCGGTAACCTCGTCAAGGTTTTTCTTGAGAATAAACCACCCATCTATTGTTAGTGCATAAAGAGATCACCTTCTGTTAGCACAATAGAACCAGATATTTGGAAATTATGCTTTGTGAATAGTTTCAATTACTCCAGCGAAGAGTAAATTTATAGACAATCCACAAACGAACTTTAATAAGAATGCTAGTTCTCAGAATGATTCTGGGTCTAGGAAATAAGTATTTCAGTAAATTACTTCATGTCCTAATCTTTTTTTATTGCCTGCCTTTTATAGAAGATAGTTATGTCATGGCATTAACACACACACACACACAAAATCTGTTTTAATTTCCAAATTAAATGGCAGCGGTATTTGACTACAAGTCATGGATTGGGAGAACAAATGACTGGCAACCCAAGGCCATGATCGCTTTCCACGCAGTAGCTGTGAACACTAATTTACAAGAAAATGAAGGTATGATTTCATGTCCTGTGTCAATTACTAGAATGAATCAAAGGAAACTTAAATCCCAGATTTCTTAGACTGTCCTTAACAATTTTAATGGCCACTGTAGGTAAACTCATATTCTACACCTTTTCTTTGCCTATGCTAGAATATTAAATTTCTCGGAGTTCAGTCCCAATTGATTTTCTTCATACAATTACTTTTCTTGATTTTCCACTTTTTTTTTAATACAAGCAGGTCTTCATGTGAAATACCATGCTATGAGGGCAGGAACTGATGGAGAAGTTGTTTCCATTAGAATATCTCAGCAGCTCCTGTGATTCATCTTTAACCCGTTTTTGAGAGTGGCTGGGGTTGGGTATTTCTTTACAAGCCTTTAAAATGCCTTATTGACATTATTATACAATACTATACTACTACACCTGAAAGCAATTACTGTACACCCATTCATTAATTTCCTACATGTAGCTATGCTTTAAGAATTGAAGGATGATCATAAATACTATTTCTAAATGAAAAGTTGAAAAATGGTAATGACAAAGCATTCTTCTATACGAGTGTAGAAAATTTCCTCTAGATCTTCACGCATCTGCTTCCCTGAAATTGAATGATTTGAGCAGTATGCTGAAATTAAACTAATGAAAGATGAATAGTGGTTTATGATCACTGGTGAGGATTTTTAATTTTTTGCCCCCAATGGGCTGACATGACAAAAACAGGAATCATAAGATCCTGCTCTCTTAGTTGCTTAAAATCTGGCAGTGTTATAAAGATCCAATTAGTATATGTAACTACTAATATCGATAAACATTAGGCAGGCAGATAAGTAATGATTCCGCAGGTAGCAGTCTCATGCCAACCTTCTATATATTTCTATTAGTCTATTACGCTATACCAATATATAATATAATTTGACTTTCGGTATTGCTTTTAAAATTGGAGGGAGTTTAAAATTAAAATACGGTTTCTTCTTCTTATAAGCTGGTCCCTTCCTACCGCAGATTTGTACATCTCAAAAGTAATGGGCATTTTGAAGGTCCTTTTTCACTTCTTCATCTTTCCTGTCATATATGCCTCACATGATTGCCAAACTTCTATCTGTGGCAACGATAGTATCCTTATTCATTTCCCCTTTCAACTAGAAGGAGAGCAACATCCTTATTGTGGCTATCCTGGTTTCAATTTAATTTGTAACAATGATAACAAAACAGTTCTAAAACTTCCTTACTCTGGAGAATTCTTTGTACGCGACATAAACTATCTCAAACAGCAGATACATGTCTACGACCCTGATGCTTGCCTTCCAAAACGTCTTCTGAGCCTCAATTTTTCAGGTTCTCCCTTCATTGCCACTTCTTGTCGTAACTACACCTTCTTAAGCTGCCCATATCTGAACGCGGGGTCACAATTCATTCCTATTGATTGCCTCAGTAATTCAACAAATTTCGTATCAGCTATCCCTTCAGAGAACTTGTCCAATTCATTGCCTGTGTCTTGCTATGTTATTAGGAGTCTTTCAGTTCCTGTTGCAAGCCCGGGACAGTATGAGGAAAACCTCAGAGATGAACTTAGTCAAGATCTTCGATTAACATGGAATACACCTGACTGCAGATATTGCGAATCACAAATGTGTGGATTTGAAAGCAGTAACAGCAATCAAGTTTTCTGTTTCTCTAATTACCAAAAAGGTAAAGATGTTCTATATTCTTCAATCTGCATTTCCATAAGGTTTATCATCGTATTCAAAGACTAGCCTAACATGTTTGAAGAATTAAAAGAAAGGAGACCTGCTAATTTAGTGCTATTATCAGTAGAGCTGACCATATTTTAGGTGCCCACTTGCCTAAGTTACAAGGAATAAATACAAAAATTTTGGTCAATGGTTTAACCTCAGTAATCAGGAAACCATGGAAGTTTCTTGTTTTGTTTATACTTTGTTTATACATATTGACTTCCGGATTTGATTTGCATATTGTCATTAAATTAATGAAATTGCAAGATAAATGCCATGCGTCATGTCCAAGCCAAAAGTCAAATTATCATCCCCACATATAATATAAGGCAGATGTTGAGTGGTTACATCAAATCCTATTTATTCAATTACTCAGTAGTACTGTTTTTTTAGATTTTAGACTAAATCAACGTTTTGGTCCTTAAAAAATTCACTTATTTTACGTTAATTTCTGAATTTTTAAAGCCCAACACCAAGTAGTTGAAATATTTGTTTTAGTACTTGAAATACTTCACCTTTTTCACATTAATTCATGAATTCTTAAAACCCAACATGAAGATAATGAAATATTAATTAGTCTCCTATGTCCTAGGGTTGGGTTTCGTTTCTTTTTGTTAATTAAAGTGTCACTATAGCACATTACATTTCTGACTTGGCCATCGGGTGACACGTGCATTGTAAGATGCTAGCATGGAAAAAATAAAATAAAATTCCCCTCTATTATTACTTCAAAACATATTTTCTATCCTAGCTTGGAAATCTTTCTCTAATTTTATCTCCACTTGAAATAATCCACATTTAACCTAGGCTTGTCTATGGGTGGCGGCTTAAGAATCCATATCCATCATTCTTCATTTTGACATGACAGATTAATGTGACATTAACTTTGTTAACCCAAATTTAGCATAGGTTGATTCAATGTGGATGTATAAATAAAAAAAAAAAAAAAGATTCAATGTGGCCCGTTAAATTACTAACATGAACCAAAAACGAATTTGTTTCTATCAAAACACCACCATTTTGGTTACGTTAGAAGTCATACCTGTGAGGGCCATCTTTGTCCCAAATTAACAACTTAATGTGCCATAGTGATACTTCCGTTAGCCAAATCAAACCCCATTTAATTTCGGCATAATTTGCTTCACAAACTAATATTTTAGCGACTTAGTCTTAGGTTTCAAAAATAAAGCATAAGTAAATATTTTGAGAGAATAAAACTAATATTTTAAATATTTTTATTGAGTTTTTAAAAATGCAAAGATTAATGTCAAATTAATGAAATTTTCCAGTACCACTACCGTTGTTTTACTATAGTTTCCAAGTACCAAGTCAGATTAAAAGTTAAAAATTTCTAGCCCAACTCTTTATATGTTAATGAAAGAAGCAACAACATGGTAGTTCTAAGAAGTTGTGTTTAGGGCCGTACTCCAATAACAAGGGGGCTAGAGGAGGTTGTGTGAAGATACTTCCAGATTATTTATTGAAAAATAAAAAGCAATAACATGGTAGCCAAGTGGTCAAGACTAGAGTTGGCAAAAACGACGGATTGGCTCGTAACCCGTAAAAAATGAGCCGGGTTGGGTTGGCAAAAATGAGCTGTCAACCCGAGCCAACCCGGCTCTTTTCAGCCCGTGAAAAAATGAGCCAACCCGCGGGTCAAACGAGCCAGCTCGCGGGTTGAGTTTTTTTTTTTTTTTTATAAAAAAATACAAAATATAATATACAAAAATAGACAAAACCCACACATGTTGTCATCATTTTTCTTCCTTCTCTAAACCTAAGTCTCTAATCTTCTCACATCCCTGCCATTTTTATATTGTTAGGCTGTGCTGGCTCTATTTGGTTCAAATATCTTACCCACTTGGTAGTAAGTGATTCTGAGTGTTCCTAGATGTTGATGTAAATTTGTTGTGAAGAAAATTCGAAACTAAAATATTTTGCTTTTATTTCTCATTTTGTAACCCTTTGTTTAAGCTAATGGAAACCACATAGCTGGTGCATTAATACTACATGGTCATTTAAATAGGCTTAAAACGAGCCAACCCGCGAGCCAATTTTCGAGCCAACTCGCGAGCTATTTAGCCAACCCACGAGCTATATTTTTGAGTCAACCCTAACTGACTCGGGTCGGGTTGAGTTGGGTTTTCTGGCTCATTTTTTTTTTCGAGCCAACCCTAACCCGACTCATTTTTTTCGGGTTGAATGCAGGTTGGGTCGGGCCGTGTTGGCCCGTTTTGCCAACCCTAGTCAAGACCTTGAAGTGAGATTATTACTATTATTTTATGTTGCTTATCTCCGTGAGCATATAGTAAGCTTGGCTGAATCTCTCAACCCAAATTGCTTTGCCCCTTTTGATATCATTTCCTAATAAACAAGGTCCTCGTGTAGTACCATTTTATCCCTTTTTGGGATAACATAACCATTCTAGACAATCTTATTTATATATGTTGGCCTTTACTGGCTTCAATTTTCAGGTAATTCACAACGTGGACTTCAAGTTTTTAGAGTCATAGCATTATGCATAGCTGGACCAGCTGCTATCTTTGCTATTGTGATGGCAAGCTGTGTGTGTTACAATGATGGAATAGCCAATGCTCGCAGAAATGGTACTTCCCAGAGGTCTGCAATATCACCTCAACCTGCCATTGTTACTACGGGTCTGGATGAGTCAACCATTGAGTCTTATGAGAAGCTAGTAATTGGGGAGAGTCGAAGGGTTCCTGGACCCAATGATGGATCTTGCTGGATATGCTTGTCAGAGTACAACAGCAAAGACACAATCAGATGCATTCCTGAATGCAAACATTGTTTCCATACTGATTGCATAGATGAGTGGCTTCGCATGAACAGCACATGCCCAGTTTGCCGCAACTCTCCCACCCCTTCTCCTGTTCCTGTTATACATGTATCCACCAATGTCATTCATTAATTAAGGATTTTATCTCATGTACATGTCATGTCTTTTAAGTGAATATTATATAAGTGAAAGTATCCGTATACTTTATGAGGAGCTGGAGTTGGATACTTCTTTTCCTAGCTTTTTAAGTTGTTTGCTTGGTGTTTTTCATGTATGTAAGGAATCTAGACAAGTCATCGAGTCTCTTGACGAGTCCTGTAATGAAATCGTCAGCAACATTTTTAAGTATTTATCTCATCCATAAAACTGACAAACATAATTAAGGATTGTCGAGCTTCAATTGACAAAAAAAACACATTGGAATTTACCATCCCTGGCCATGACCAAACCGGAGCAAGCAACCAACCACCTTAATGGCATGTATAAAAAGTCAAAAACCATGTTTCCATAAAAACATAATTCAGGATACATAATAAGATATTATCTCAGAATTGTCAAATAATTACCTTTTGGAAGAAACAATTCTATATTAAAAGAAGAAGCAGCAGCAAATAGTTACTTCTTATGTTACAATCCAACTTCCAATAGTCCTCTGTACAAGTAAAATCATTTACCATTTGGTATATGGCCATGAAGATAACATCAACCACGAAACGATAGTGAAAACAAAAGTGTAACTATTTCTGTAACAAAATTCTTGGTCAGTATTCTTAAATAGTTAGGCTGGCTGAGAAGGGAACAGTGAAGGAAATCTCCACTTTAAGTTACAATGATGCTGAATAGTTGGTAGACCATCATCTAGAAATATGACACAGAATGGGACCTACTGCAGTTTTGAAGTCATCATAAAACCTCTCCTCAGAAAACCTAAGGGCACGTTTCCTTGCAGCAGCAGCCATCTTAAGTCTCTCCATCTCTGGCATCTTTATGATTCTCAAAATGGCATCTGCATATTCTTCAACAGTGCAGGCAAGAAGTCCTGTTTGCTGTCCATCTTCATCTAATACAATGTCCATTTTTGGGCCAGCAGAATTATGGGCTGACAAACAAACATTGCAAGAATAATTAATGCAAGTAAAAGCACCCAAGATAGAGAAAATAAAGATTATTTACCAAATGGGAAAATTTCATATCACACCCACCAATTGGGATGGCACCAGCAGCCATATATTCTACAACACTAATGCCAAAATGCTCATCTGTCATGGAATGGATGCCGGCAACAGCGCCTGCTAAAAGTCCCACCAAATCTCTGCAGGATAATGCAGTGATCTAATATATTAGCAAGACAGCATTTAAAATTAAGGTTCTAAAAGTACAAATGTAACTAGAACAATTGATTCACAACTTCAAAAATAAACTTTTGTGATAAAAGTGGTCAACTAATTTTAATGAAAGACTAATCAATCATTTATACAGATTTTTTAATTAATTCAAATCCCAATTAAGGATCCATGCTACGAACTTTCTTTTTACTTTTATTGTGGTCAGTCGGTATCCAAGCTATTTTATGTGCATCTCGACTCTAGACTAATACACCTCCTCAGTCCCGTCCTGCCCATCAACATCATGACTAAAGGATTTACAAGGAAAGTCCTGGCAGCTTATCAAATTGGCTATTGATGTTTTTCATCTATAAGTCAAATGACAATAAGTGGAATCAATTTCAACTTATGGCTGCAAAAGTGTAAGAGCAGAATTTAGCTTTCTTATAGGACCAATTAGGGAGAAAAGAATCCAAAAAAATTTGAATCAGTTAATTACAGAGGAATGACAACTATCATATGTCATTAACTGAGGAATAAAAGGTATGCAATGTACTATAAAATAATTTTTTAACTTTTTATTCTGCAGAGAAAGCGCCTTTTAGGATCATTTAAAAAAAATGTAAAGTCACTAGTACTGACCTGTATGTTACATTCTTGTAAAATTCCACTTGTTCATTCACATTCAGCTCAATTGCTTTCATTTTTAACATTTGAAGTCTTTCCTCATCTGATTTATTTCTACAGCTACCCACAAATTGGAGCTTAGGTTTTGGCAAGCCAGAATCTAATCTCTTAATGGCTGTTGAAAAGGCCTCAAGTTGGACACTGTGAGCCTACAAGGAAAAGAAAAATGTAAACTTGGTAAAATCAACAAAGGCCTAAATAAGCCACCAAAAACGGTTATACCTCCCATTCACAAGTTTATAGAAGTATGCCCACCTTCTCTGGTCGAAATTGTGCAACAGATATTATTAGAGGAATTTCAGCTGATCTTTCCAAAGGAAGCACCTGATCATATTATTTACCTGTTAGAATCCACCAGTGATTACCACACTAGGCAAAGCACACACACACACACACATACATATATATAGTAAATTGGTATCATCCTCATGTGTTTATAATTATCACTAAATTGGCTTAAAGTAACAATTGTCTGGGATCTTAATAACAAGTGAAATAGGGAAAGTACTGAGTGACGAAATTAAATTCAAGTTTTGACTACATGTGCAAGGATAAGTTCTAAATTTTTTTTGTAAATATACTGCTCCAGAGGAAAACACAGGAGATAAGAACCATGACAACCTTCAATGTCATAAAGCAACATGCAATCCAGGACAGTTATCCACCCGACCAAAAGTGACAATGAAGAGAGAGACTAGACAATATACAGACAACAATTGCAGGACAACAAAAAACAGATTTCAAACCTGGAGTCCTGAAGTATCACAAGGAGGATAGACTCGCTTAATACGATCTGGAAATCCCCAAAGCTTTTCAATATGGGATTTGGTCCAAGATGAATTGACCATAGCTAGGTGTGCACAAGATCCCACAACCCCATACAAGTAGATGAAGATTGTATAATAGACGATTTTGCACCGAGAAAGCCAAACACTGCCAGAAAATAACTGTCAGATTCCTAAAATGATGGAAACGAGGTAAACCGAAATGTTGGAACTTTATAATTATTAAAGATTAAAGATTCATTTACAGGAATCATATAAGCTGTCTATAAATATCGCTTTTAGCTCAGAACAGCTACAGTAAAAGCATAAAGATATACCCTGAGGTCTCTGAATCCCAGAATCTGTTAAAATTCTGGAAATTTGGTACATATTGTAATATAGTAGTATGTATGAACAGAACACGAGACGTACATACCTTTTTGCAATTAAGGCATCATTATTGTACATCGAGCTGCGCTGACGAACACGAGACAGCATCTCTGAACTAATAGTAGGGTAATGTGTATAGCAAATAACTTTGCATCCAAACAACCTGGCAAGTGGATATGTAAAAGCATACCCACTTGTGTCAAAATAATATAAAGGGGTAAACTTGCACAAAGCCTCCCATGCAAGATACACAGAACCCAGACTTTGAGCAATCATAGTAAAGTGTGGATAAGTGGTTTCTTCAATCCACTTTCTCTTGTACAAATGCACCACCTGAGATTTATTGATCACAAAATAAGACACAGTTTATTTTAAGCTTTTTAACAAATCAAATGGATTCTAACACAAAATATTTAATCATCACATTTATCTTGTTCAATGGGTAAACCTAAAACAAACCTAACAGATTTTTGCAGTTCAGTTAAGCTGTTAAATCAGTTCCTGTTGGCTGTTAGTTGCAGAGCAAGACAATAGAATAACTAACTCGAACTGAAGCATAACAAACCCAAAACAAACTTAACAGATTACAGCTCAGCAACTAACAGCTAACAGGAACTGAACTAACAGAAGCTGAGATACAGCTCAGCACTAACAGAACCCAAACAGAAAATGCAGGAGCAGCAAGACTGATATGAGATCAGTCGCAGCAGATCAAAAACAACTAAATTACCAAAAAAGAAAAAGAAAAAGAAAAGAAAAGAAAACTACCTTTGGAGGAGAGAGGAGCGTGACACCGAAGCGATCGAGGGCACGAGCCATCAAGGATTGAGGCGTGGCATCGTGGTCTCCGGTGTAGACAAGGCAGTGAAGGTTAGGGTTTTCGTCTTGGATGGCTCTGACGGCGCACCATAGCACCCTTTCTCCGCCGCCGCCGTCGTTGGTGTATGGATGGAAGAACCCAACGGCTCTTTTCCTGTTACGTCTGCCATTGATTGCGGCGAAAGAAAATCCAACAATTATGACAGTGATGACTGCAACGATGATGAATCCAATTGTCATCATCATCGTCAGGTGATCGCAACACACAGCTTCGCGTTGCAGACGCAGATAGAGAGATACGCACAGCTTCAACGTCGTTGAATGAAAATGGGTTTGGTATTTGATATTTTAAAAATAAAATAAAATGTTTAATTAGAAAAACTATAAAAAAAAATGAGGGAAAAAAAATGTAGTAGATATAGAACTAAAAAGAAATTATTAATCTTAGTATGCCACCAAACAAAATTAAGAATAAGAAGTTATTTGTCATGTAAAAAATAAGTAATGGTTATACTTATTATTATTTTAGATTTAATATTCTTATTACCTGTTTATTCAACGCTTAAAAAATAAAAAATTATTATTATTTTTGATTTTAAATTAATCAAACGACAATAAATCAGTAGTACGAGTAATGAACTTAAAATAATAGTAATATAATTTTTCCTAAAAAAAAATTGTGTATTGAACAGTTAAAGAATATAAAATATAAAAAAATAAAGATAATATTTATCTACTTGATAATATAAAATATAGTTACACTATTATTTAATAATGCCTTGAAAAGTTATAAAAAAATTGATTTGTCAACAAGTCATTGTTTCATACTCAAATTTTATTTAATGATTTTTCAAAATATATTTAGTATTATATATATTATATATAAAAAAAGAGGGTTTTATAGCCTAATAACTATCTTATGTGATTTCTCTAAAATGTGTTAGGGGAGATGATTTTCAAAGAGGATTTTGTGGCACGAGATTTCAAAACAACCAACGAAAAGTAAAAGGGTTAATTTTTTCTAAAGTTATTTTAGATAAATTATTTGCGGTAATTAATTTTAATTATATCTTACTAGTAAAAGATAATTATAATAGTAAAGTTTTTTTTTCTCTTCTCAGATATTATCAGTTGATGTGGTAGAGGGAGAAAAATAATTTTACCATTATAACTATATCTTACTAGTAAAACGTAACTAAAATAATGAAAGGGAGACAAGATTATCTAAAGTTATTTTAGAAACTTTTTACCCAAAGTAAAATTATAAAAAAAACTACTTCCTATTGACTCAGAGGTTGACCATGATTTATATATTTGTAAAGAGATTGATTTTCCAATTCCAATCTATAACCTTTCTATCACAAAAGCAACTATCACAAGCGATGAGTTTAACAAAAATTTAGCCTAAGGAAACCATTATCACTAGACATTTTTTACACACTGCTTATGCCCATATAGTTGTTGTAGGTAATCTCAAACACCACTTATGTGCACACACTAAAGCTATGATGATGTTAAACACGCACACATCAACAATTTTTCTTAAAGCTACAATATAGTACACAACACTCTCAAGTCATTTGAGTAGTGAAATCTGGTTCAGCTGGCTTCTGAGGCAGGAATGGCATTAATCTCTGTGTCTGTGGCAATCTGTTGCGTTTGCCACTTCGCAAGGGCTTTAATGCATTGGATGCAAACCTTGATGCATATACTGTGGCAACAAAGCTTGGTGAGGACCCTTCCTCATTTTCATAAGCATGTAGCCTCTCTTCTGCTTCACGTAATGACCTCTCATTCTTTTTTTTCCTGTTTCTACGCCAAGCTGCTTGTATGAAACATGCAGCCCATGTCCTCCATTGCAGGGAATAGAACCTGTACCAACATTGTCATGAATGTGGTTATGAAGCATATATTTTTTCTTCTAGTTTGGAAATTCAAGTGTGAGAGTGTTTGTTAAAAATTAACTAAATAAGAACCATATAACCAACCAAAAAGATCTATAAACTCAATCTTTTAAGATTTTGGGCTAAGATATGATGTAAAATCCACTTATTCGGGTTTGAGTTTTATTTAGCCCATTCCCGTGATTATTGTTGGGTATGGCTCATACTTCTTATCGTGATGAGGGCCCTTGTTGTCGCGGTTAGCAAAAAGACAACCAGGGTCCCACTCCCAGATGAGCGGACGGGGTCTGGGGGCAGTGGCCCCAGGCCGGTAGAGACTAGGTACTGTTGTGGGCTTCTGATTTATTGTAATTTTCTTAGTAATTTGGGCTTGAGCCCATGAATAGCTGTTGTTAGGGTTTTCTAATTCAATTTATATTTTTCTTGTAAACCGAATGACTCGTAACGAGTGGCGGTGAGGTGAATATAGTACAGACAAGCTGGATGTAGCCTATATTAGGTGAACCAAGATAAATCACCGTGTCAATCTCTCTTCTCTCTTCTCTCTTCTCTCTTCTCTTTTCTCACTAAATCAGTTTTATATTGATATACTACATTCCTTGAGGGAAAAGAGGCCTAAATCTACCACACAAACACTTCAGTAATATTCATCCACAAAAGATGTAATGATGCATTATAAAAGTTGAAACATATAGCAAGCCTTACTTGAAAGTGTGCTTGAGCTGTTTGCTGTTTATAAGACGTCGAAATTGGGAAGCAACAAGCTTCAAGTCATCAGGCATGAGAGCAAAGGCTTCCACTTCTGATATAGTTTTTACTGTTCTGGTTGAAATAGGTAGATTTGAGGTGGAGTTGGGATCCAATGCCCATGTTAAGAGCTCTTCTCCACAAAAGTCACCAGCCTTGAGCTCAGAGGAGTTGAAGAAACCAGTTCTTCCACCATTTGTTGTGGTAGTGGCAAGTTTTCCACGCATGATGAAGAGCATTTCATCAACTGGATCTCCTTCACGAACAATGTCACTTTTCTCTGTGTAAAGTACTGGCTTAAGTCTATCACACATTGCATCCAACAACTGTTTATCCATGTTCTCAAACATTGGCACCTAGAGCAATATAAGAACATGAAATGTTTCATTACACATATACAAGTATAAGTAGGAAGGAAAAGAAAAAACCAACTGAATGGAGAGATGATTATGGATGGTACCTACTTTTTTAAGTAAATCTAAGCAAAGGTGACTCTTTATGTCCCTTCTGAGATCTTTAGGGAGGTTTCGAATTAATGTCTCTTCCTCAACACCCCTATTTTCTTGCCATTTGTATTGTTCATACCTTCTAATTCTTTCCTTCAAGTAGTCAGGTAGCATACGGTGGGACATCCACTGTTCTGCATCCCTCCTTTTGATTCTCATCTCTTCAACTCTAACAGTTGTAGATTGTAGATATTTCTGTAACAATAATCCAACACAACACATGAATTCATAAAATGAGAGGAGTGGGATGTAGCTGGCTTTTTAACACACAAAGTTGATGAAAATTTGGTTTCAAACAGAAGGCATGGAACCATTGTATTGAGGTGAGGTTATTAATGACACATACATATATATATGCAAGATACATGTCATGTCTATGATCTCATCTCCTTGTCCTAACCAAGAATTACCTGCATGTTTCCAATAAGTAATGCGAACAGAACCAATCCAAAGACAGCAATGAAGATAGCAAAGATTATCTCCCCAACATAAGTACTTGTCTGTAGGTTTTGCCCAACAGAACTGCAAAAAAGGACAAAAACTATGAATTTTGGAATGCTTTTATCCCCCATCTTCAAATAGATTGTACAAAGTTTTCGTTTATAAGATGTTACAAACACTAACTAATGATAAATCCATAGAAACATTTGTAACAAAATTAAGAACACAATGACATAAAAGTTCATCAAGAATAGAGAAGATCATTTACCAACCTTACATTGCGCAAACCCCACCAAAAGCAGTAGAAGAACTTATGAGGGAAATTTGTAGTTGATTCTACCACACGAGACTTTAGAGCTTGTAAAAATATTCCAAAATTGAAAACTGTGAGGTCTTCTGTTTCATCAGGATCAGTGTAAGGGCAAGAATTATTGAGAAGTGATAGAACACTAGGAATGCCATATCCACAGCTCATGTAGGAATCATGAGAGAATGTAGTATTCTTCAACTGTCTGCGCCAGCACCGCACCTCTGATTCTACGGAAAATAGATACCAGAAAGCTCCAACCACCTGGTATGCCATGCGTTAGATATATAATAAAATCATTCATGTGTCTTTTCCCAACAACTTAAGCTTTTAGAAGAGTTCGTTCGTGACACCACATGTGCTTGGTGATCACAAAACTTAGCATGATTACTAGGAACGTAGATTACAAAATAAGCTTACATGACTTGCTAGCATATAGAGAAAAAGATTATAAGCAGCTCCAGCCCATGCTGTCTCAGTCAATATGCCAGAAGTGCTTGTTACTTCTTTGAACATAGGATAGATCCGTAGAAGTCTTGGCACATACTGAATTATTATTACATACTTCAACAAATCCTTTGCCGCAAGTGGAACTGAGCCTTCTGGTATTGGAATGATAGATAAAATGACCATCTAAGAACACATTAAAAGTGTTAATTAAGACAATATCTACCATCTGAGAACACATTAAGAGTGTTAAAACAACATCAAATTATGTCTTTCACATCAAAATCAATTGAAGATTATTATCACAGTTGCCTTTATTTTGGATACTAAATGGTGGTACTTGTCATAGGAAAATACCAAAAGGAGTATATTACCCTCATTTTTTCCAGGGCATTACATTAAAATCATTCCATCAAAAAGGTTAATTATATATTTAGGCTTTTGAGGTAAACAACCATTAATGGTTCAGACTGATATGTCTAGTGACTCCTTGCAAAATATGGTTTATGGGGTAGAAGAGGGAGATACCTGAGGAATTGGAATAATTGATAGAATGTCAATGATGAAGTAAGAACTTAAGTATCTCATCACTATGGTACAAGGATCATCAACAAGCTCACCCCTTCCAAATACACGAGAAGAAGGGGCAATAAACCCGGTTCGAAATTGAAAGATGATGCGAAGAATGTAGAAAAGATCAAAGAATGTGCGAAGAACACTAGCAGTAATCTTCAATGTTTCATCCAAATCAAGGCATTTTCTGTTGACATCAATCACAGGGATGTAAAAGAACAGCGGGTCCACAGAGATTGCCATCACACAAGTGGTTACAAAAATTTTGTTCCATTTCTGAAGTAGTGGCCCCTGTGGATCAAGAACATTGATCCCAGAAGCCATCCTTTTGATTGATACATCACTCACAGGACTTACACTTGGCTTAACTTTTCTTTTGTGAAATCCATCAGTAATAGGATCATTTTCAAACCTGCCATCAATAATAGGATCATTTTCAAACCTGGACAGAAACATAAACTCAGTTAAGTATCTTGAGGCAAGAACCAGGTATATGTTAGCATCAGTACTTAATTTCCAACAATAACAAAACTCATAAGATCAAATCTCCTAAGAGGCCACTTCAATATCTTAGTAACATGATCATATTTGAATTTTTAATTTCTCTGTTTGGTGTCAATTTGTCATACATTAGAGAAACATCTTTTAAAATAGGTAAATTTCACTTTCTTTTTTTAGAAGAATCATTGAAATGAACCTTTTTTCTGAATGAAGGATATGAATAAAATATTTTTCTGGTACAACAGTATATGAATAACTGAGGCAGCAAATGTAATTCTAAATATGTGCAAAGAGTGTGCTAAAATCAAAAGTGCAGAATGTACCAAAAATAAGAATAAACAAAATATGTAGCAAAACCAGGCTTGAGCAGACAAAGACAAACCTCACAGATTTTTGTCCCTTTGCAGTCATGATTAAGCTACTTCAACATCAATAGAAGATTCAGGCCTGCAAAATCCAACTACAAATTTCAAACTTTTTTACTTAAAAAATTCTAAATTAACTAGAAAAGAAAAGGGTAAACTATTTATGACTTTTTTTTTTTTTTTTTTTTTTTATAAATTTATAAGTTATAAACGGAAAAATATAACACTATCTAGAAGCTATCAAAGACTCAAAAATTTATTTAAAATAATCAAGTCAACTAAGTCAATCTCCATAATGAAGTACTCAAAACCCAAACCAACTTTAGTCAGTAAATGAATTTGTGAATAAACCACAGGACAAGGAAATATAGAGAGGAGGGGTTGACTTAAACAATTAATATGAACCACAGATACAAATTTGCTAGAAGCTGAAAGGTTGTTTGTTAACTTTGGTGTGATATTGTGAAGAGTAGAAGGAAAAGGGAACACCAATATTAATTAATATCTTAACTATGCCATGCCAAGGTTGCTTGGTAACAACAGAGCGAGGAGTTCAAAACTCAAAGTTCAAAACTCAAAAAGAGCAAAAACTTTACATGCAGAGTAGTAGAAGAAGCCTTCAGAGAAAGATTTTCATGGCAACTATGTTCATTGTTCACGAAGTTATGAGAGTGATGAAAGAGAAAGAGAAAGAGGTTTGGACTATGAACAATGTGAAAAGAGTCTAAGTCAGCTTGGTCAACGACAAATAAATAAAGGGGAAATTACTTCTTACGTGACTGCAGAAGTGAAAAGTGCAGGAACACTTACTTTTATCATGATACGCGTCCGAATTCTGGATTTATTTTTTGATAGAATCCGCACGTGTATCCTAAGATCCGCACATGTATCCTAGTATCAAAAATTTGCTGCAACTTTTCTCATCACTGGTTGAGAAGCGACGGACCCATAAATAAAATCATGGTTAGCTCAGTTACATGCAAATACAATGCTAAATAGTAAATACGACCCCAGCAATCGTATGGTATAATCGTATGCCTTTTATATTAATTATTACCTGAAATTTTAGCTAAATTTAAGATTAATTATTGGGAAAATAAATAAATAAGTTCTATATAATTGCATTATTTGAAAAATTCAATTTCATTTTTCAATTATTTAAGAGTTTAACCTTTTGTAATTACTTATCAACACGTGATTATATAATAGAGAGAGGATTCAATGTTTACCGGAGAGAGAGAGAGGATTCAATTATTTCACAAATAAATCTTTAGAATACCTAGTCTCTTATCATTAATTTTATTTATATTTAATGACTCAAATTATTTTATTAACAAAAAAGTATAGCACTCTTACATTAATAGAGAGAGAAATAAAAAAATTAAACATTAATTATGACAGATATTTTAATTATTAATTTAAATAATTATTTTTGAAAATATTATTAGTAAATACATGAATTTAAGTTGTTCATAAAAATTATAATTTTCAATATTTAATATAACATTTAGTTTTAAACATATGAGAAAAACATGTTATGTTAATAAAATAAAATTTTAGTGAATAAATATTTTTTGTTATGAAATTTACTTATTAATTTAAAAAATTATGCTCTCAAATAATTATTTTAATATATCTTAATTATTTTTAAAAAAAAAAATTCAAAAACTGTGCTACATTCATTTTGAAGAATATTATACTTATATTAAATTTTTAAATTAAAAAATACTGAGATATTATATACATTATAAATCATATAGATCATATTATTTAAAAAAAAAATTTGGTAAGGTGTCATATTATTAAAATTTATCATATGAAAATATAACCTTATAATATAGATGAACATCACAACTCATAAATATTTGTAATGTTATAATAGTGTTTAAATACTCTCTCTTTTTATAAACATGTTTAAAAAAAAAACTATTCTTTTAAATTTAACATATTTATTATAAAAAATTATACCTTTAGATAAATATTATAGATTTATATATTTTTGATAATAATGATTTTAAATTAATTATTAGAGTGAATAATTAAAATATTTCTCATTATTAATGTTTAGTTTATGATTTCTCTCCTCATTAATCTAAAATTATTATCTTCTTCTTCTTCTTCTTTTGTAAAATACTATTATTATCTTTATTTATCAATAAACTAAATTTAAGCATTACATAAAAATAAAATTTAATGATAAGGGATTAAGTTAGACTTAATTACTTCTAAAATAAATAACGTGTTTAGTTCAAAGTAAAATGAGAACAAAGTTGCCTATGGTCTTCTTCTCTACCAAGAATGTTGGTCAACACAGTCATATAGGTGTAGCATAAGTAAGCGTGATATAGAATCACTTCCATTTCAACCAAAAAACTTAAACATGAGGTGAGAGTTTACTCCTTAATAACCATGGTGGGGTGAGGTGTAAATGGCTGAGTCCACATCAACATCACAAGGCGTGTTAATGGAGAAGGTATATATCAGGGAAGTACTCAAGAGTTAATGGGGTGGGGCAAAATGGAGTAATAAGGGTACCTAAGGGTGGAGAGTGCACATGGAGAAGAAGAATAGGAATAAGGTTGAAGATATTTTTATAAAATCAGACTAATTAATATTAGTATATTACATTAAAAATATGATATTTAACTGATTTCATGTATTAAGATATTCTTTTATGGAGAAGGTTATATTTATCAACTTTTTGTTTACAAACTACACTAAGTATGACCGGTCATACTTCAATCAAGAGTGTCATACTTAGTGTAATTTGTAAAAAAAAATTGTAAACAAATCATTCTCCTTCTTTTATTTGAATATATTTGATATATTAGAATCGTGAATAACTAATATAAACTTTTTTTATTGAACAAATGATTGTAAATAAAGTTTTATAATTTATATGTTAATAAATTTGAAAAAAATATTCATTTTATGCAATTTATTTAATGATTTGATATTTTTCATGTTGTAAAAGATAAAATTATCTCTTATACATATAAAAGTGTATGAGACTCATATAAAAAGAAAATAGAAAAAAAAAAACATGAATCCTATATACTTTTATGTGTTGATAGGAGAAATATTTATCTCCTATAAAATAAGAAATATTAAACCTTTTATTTAAAAATAAAAAATAATATAAGTTTGTATCTCATTATAAGTATAGACATCTCATTTTACATACGTGCAATTCTTTGTGAATTAACTGCAGTTCTCACAATTTGTTAGTATATTTGTTTACGGAGAACGCAAGTTCGAAACCCGATAAACGTATCTATTGAGAGATGGAGTTCTTAATTGTTCTCAACCCCAAGTGAATTAGTCCTAAAGGATAAATTGTTTAGCTACGAAGTAGACACTTTAAAAAATTTGATGTGTTGTGTTTGACACTTTTCGACACTCACTGATACTCTGACACTTTCCGACATTCCAATACTCATTGCAAAGATTCAAAAAAGTTCAAAGGTTACGTTGCGTTGCGTTGCATTTTGAGTTCCAACTATTATATTCGTTAGATTACAATTATAATTTTATTGAGTTTAATATAAACATTTGGGATATCTTACATTTTTTTGCAAAATTGATGGGTATTATAAGTTTAGCTTTATTTTTTTTATTAAATTATTGAATACTAAATATAATATACACTACATAAATTAAAAATATTATATAATATCAAAACGTGTCAAATTTAATATTTTTTAAATTAACATGTCAGAATGTCGTGTCGTATCCTGTGTCGTGTCGATGTCATTGCAACATAGCTATTTAGAAGAAATACTAATAAAAAAAAACTCTACCTTCGCTCTCTCTCTTAATTTTTTTTTGGAAATATCTCTCTCTTAAATTTAATCTGCATCTTACTCGATGTGATAGTACCATGCTTTGTGCTCCATCCACACAGTGCACAATACATTAATTAATAACACAAAAATGCAAATAATTTAAGGTTCCATTTTTCTCGAGTTACTGCATATAAGTTATCCGCAGTAAGCTTAATACGACGTCATTTTGGGACGGAAATCATGGTATTTTGTAATTTTAATTTATTTCAGGGTTATAAGAGTCTTTATATTTATAATATAATAAGATTTTAATACCAAAACGACGTTGTTTTAAAAATAAATGAAGATAACTTATCTGCATTAACTGCAGAAATATTTTTCTCAATAATTTAATAAGGGTCGCGTTATCTTATTATCCCCATCTCATGAAGTAACGTTGTGCACTTTTTTAATAACTTATAAATATCAAAATTAAAAACAAAATATTATTTTATTTCCAAAAATACATGGAAAAAATTTATATATGTCAAGGTAATTAATTTAAATTTTCCGTAAAGAAATTAAATAATGACTTTAATATTTCTACCGTAAATGTAGATAAGTTATCTATATTCACTCTCAAAACGACGTCATTTTGAGTTAAAAAATTAAAAAATTATAATGAAAAAAATTATTATGACCCTGAAATAAATTATAATTATAAAAATACTTTAATTTCTGCCTCAAAACGACATCGTTTTAGGCTCAATACAGATAAGTTATCTATGTTGACCGTAGAAAAAGCGAACCTTAAATAATTTACATAAATTATAAGTTTAAACCTTTGATCGAGTGAATAAGAGGTGCATGCTGCAAAACATGCTGTGCTAAGTTGCATGATTAATTTGCTTTAACTTTCAGTCATGTCTTTTGTGTACTGTGATCTATGGCCCATCATAAAGTGAAAAATCTCCACTTTCTCTTCTTCGAGCTGTATCCTTGGCTTGCACTCTTAAAAAATCTTGCTGAGGCTTCAATAATTGTTTTTTTTTTTTTTTTGATAACTTCAATAATTGTTGTTGATTATATTTAAGTTTGATCATCTTCTCATAAGGTTCTTCACTTTTATGGCACAACATTTATTCCACATATCAAACTTCATGCCTTAGTAATTAGTAAACAATAGTTATAAACTTGATGGATGAACCTCAAGAAAATATGAAACAAGACAAAAAATAAAAAGATATACATGAACAAGACTTGTTTGTTACAATCTTTTTCTCACTTTATGACTTGTCTCCATGCATTAGGTGTTTGATATAACAATTGACATCAAAAGGAGAAGACAAAAGAAGAAAGAAAGGAAAAAACAGCAAAGTTAATCTCCATTATGCGCTACCACGTGTTTCCCCGTCACATCTTTTTCTACTTTGAAGGATTAAAAGATTTCTCTACCGCTAAAAGTGTGATTAGATTTTACGTAGTGCATGTTATTGGTTTCCCTTATCATCAAGTTTTTGGATTAATTTCTTTGTTTTTTAATTTAAAAAATCTTAAATAACTAATTTTATTTTTTTAAAAGTTAAGTTATTTTCAAACAAGCTACTGAAGTCATATAACAAATAATTTTTTAACATCAAAGTATCGTGATAATAGATAAGTTTCTAAGACAGCCTTTCACTTTCAATAGGATAGTACTGGCTACCAACCATGCATGCCACCTCTTGGCTCTTGTTATTTTCAAACTTTAGTTCTTATAAAGTACTTATGAAGAATAGCTAGCTCAAGTAGTTAACAAGTAATAGTTGAATTACTAAGCAGTTAAGTGATATAATAAAATGCTTAATTTAAATGATGAATAGTTAATGGGATTACTTTGGAATCAAAAATAGTTTACTTGAACTCAAATGTAGTCAAAGTTAAGAGGTTCTTCCAGTACCACTAAATGTG